ATGCGCAACAGAGTATCTACCCTTAGAAGCAGACACCCTCACCTGATCCGGGCGCATGCGCAGCAGAGCTCAGCACGACCCCTGCCATCCGGCCCGGGCACGTGTGCAGCTCGGCTCCCAAGGCTGCGGCAGAGCGGCGGAACACCCTCCGCAGTTTCCCCCCGGGCTTGCTGTGGCCCTGGCATCACACAGGCGCCCTCGCGGGAGGTACCTGAGAACTCCGGTCCGGTGGTCTGTGACCAGAGACGAGGCCGGGCCTTGCGGGCCAGGCGCAGGAGAACAAGCCGGGCCACGCCCTTCCCGGCCACGCCCCCTCCCCGGCCACGCCCCTTCCCGGCCACACCCCTTCCCAGCCACGCCCCTCCCGCAGCCACGCCCTTCCCGGCCACGCCCCCTGTCCCGTCCGCCCCGCTGGCCGGGCCTAGGCTTCGGCGGTGCGCCCCGCTCTGGCCTCGCGGATGGATCCATCCTGGGCCTCGCACAGCCCGATGGAGGCGAGGAGCGGCAGCGCGGTGCCCGGCTGAGTCCCGGGTGCGGCATCTTGCCTGGCTCAGAGCTCCGGGCTCCTCCTCCCTCCGCTTCCTGGCCACCATGTCGTCCACGTCTCCGCCCCTCCATGATGGACGGACCCCTGGAAACGGCCGGTCAGATGAGCGATCCCCCCGCGGCTGGCTTTCCTCAGGCTTTCCGTCCCCGCGAGGTGACAGCCTGGCTCCCGGCCGGCCTCTGGGCACAGCTTTACCCTTGATAGACACGGGAAGGGTGGGAAGAGGAGGGAAGGGAGGGCAGGGGAGAGAGAGGAGGGCAGAGAAGGGAGGGGAGAGGAGGGGAGAGAAAGGAGGGAAGAGAGGGGAGAGGAGGGGAGGGAAAGGAGGGAAGAGAAGGGAGGGGAGGGAAGGAAGAAGAGAAGAGAGAAAAGAGGGAGGGGAGGGGAGAGAAAAGAGAGAGGGGAAGAGAGGGGAGGGAAAGGAGGGAGGGGAGGGGAGGGAAGAGGAAGGAGGACAGAAAAGGGAGGGGAGGAGAAAGGAGGGAAGAAAGGGAGGGGAGGGGAGAGAAAGGGAGGGTCCTGCCTGAGACACCCCCTCCCTGTGTGGCAGTTCTGCTTTTGATATTCCGAGAACTCTCCATCCTGCTTTCCACTCTTGTCCTATGAATTCACAATGCCCTCCGACTTTTACCATCTGTAAGAGTCCCTCCGACCGGTGTGAGAAGCCACCTCATTGTGACTTTGGTGTGCATTTCTCTGGTGCTTAGTGACGCTGAGCACTTTTTCCAGTGCCTACTGGCCATTTATTTGTGTGTCTTCTTTTAAGAAATGTCTGTTGAGGCCTTTTCCCGTCTTTGGACCAGGTATTTGTTTTCTTACTTCTGTGTTGTATGAGTTCCTCAAACATTTTGGATATGACGTACAGATATTCTCTCCCCTTCCCTAGTCTTTTCATGTTGCTGACATCTTTCTTGGCTCTGCAGCAGGCAGACCTGTTTATTGATTTCTGCTTTGTCACCTGCACTTTGGGGTCATTTCTAGCCCAGCACCGGCAGAGTAAAGAAGGAATACAGTTTCTGAGCCTCCAGCCATCCTGGATGTCCCATTATTAACCCTCGCACCATTTTGCTCTCAAAGCGTAGATGCTGCTGAAGGGCACTTGTCAGAAATAGGCTCTTGGTTCAACGCTAGTTGTGTCTGATTACAGGGATGACAAGAAGCGTTCTCCGTGGCCAGTGGCTCCCACTGCCTCTTCTGCTGAAGCATGAGGACACTCCCCTTGGCGCTGGCCAGCTGGAGGACATGGTCAGCTGGCTTCCCAGGGACCCACAGCATCCTCTGCAGCTGCCCCATCCGGAGGGCAGAAGCTTCGCAAAGGCTCTGCTTTGGGGAGTGAGCTGTTGGTCTCCATCACACAAAGGGAAGCCAAGGCCGCCGGGGCTTCTCATTGAGGCTGGTGCGGTCTACGCAGCCTTGGCTGCTTAGAAGGATGGGACAGGGCAGGATGAGGAGGCACTGGCCCATGATCCCCAGCGGTCCCTGCCAGCCCTTCCCCGTTGGCACAGTGGTCAGAGTACTGACCAGGCTCATGGCCCCAGGTCGGCTTGTCCTCAGACCACAGTTCATGTCTCAGCTGCGCTGTGTTGGTTGGTCCGTGGCCAGTGCCAACTCCCCCAGGCTGTCACCCTACGCTGCCCATCGCGTCTCCCAGCACAGAGAACTCACCTGCCACCCATTCCACGTGGCCTGAGAGAGTGAATGAGTGTGTGAATCTTAAATCCAGGGATGTGTTCCACCTTGGGACACCGATGTCTTAGCGGAAAGAAGCCCTGAGTTCGGATTGCTTCCGGTGCCTTTTGACCTTCAACTCTGAGTCATGACCTTTGTAGCTTATTGAGCACAGATGGCTTTTAAAGGAAATCCTTCCACTGCCTGCCCAGAAGGAAGGGGGCTTGGATGGTGCTCAAGCCCCCTGGTGCAGGAGCTGCTGAGCATGCTCGGACATGGGAAGATCCTGGGACACAGCCGCAGCTGGAGCGAACCAAAGTGGTTCTGGAGGGAAGCGGGGCTGTCAGGACAAGAAAAAAATCCCAGTCATGTGAATGTGACAGAAGACAACAAACCCATACCCTCCTCCCTCCTTCCTCCTCTCCAAAGGTGTGTGCACACCCAAAGACATGCAGCATGCCCCGCGCACACACCATGTCCTTTTGAAGAAGCTTGCATGTTCAACACGTCAACTCTTGAGTAGAAACCGTTTTCTCTGTGGAAGCTTATGCAGCGCAAATGCAGATCACACCCCCAGGGGTAACACAGATTTGGATAAGACAGGGCAAATGGTCTCATGGAGACTGGCAGAGAGGGGCGGGGCAGGCAGGTGGGAAACTGCAGGAAGCCCTTCTCTGAAGTGGGGAGCAGGGGTGAGCACCTGTGGCTCCTCTTTGAATGTCTGGGGTCTAGAACCTCCCCGGACTGTCTCGCTGGAGGAAGACTGGGGAGAGGTTATGCCCTCCCTCTCCCGCTCAGAGGAGTTTAGATAAGGGAGTTTAGTTCTACCTTGTTTCCTGGTGGAACATTCTACCTTTCTGCTTTTCACTCATCAGAGATGCATTCACCACGTGCACAGGAATGGTGTCAGGAGCTGCTGGCTGCTGGTTTTCTGTGAGCAGGTACTGGGGCTTGACCACAGGGTCTCGATGCTATCCTCAGCTGTTTCGCTCAAGGCTGATACCACTTGAGCCACAGAAGCGCTTCACATACCCATGCTGGATTTGAAGACTGATCCTCAGATCTCAGCCTCACAGCAGCTAGGATGACAGGTGTGGCCCACCAGTGCCACTTTAACACATCTGTCACTGGAGCTTTGTAATGGCAGAAACAAAACTTGCTTCTCAGACACTTGGGAACACCTCTTGCCTGGACCCATTCTGCCACCTGGTGGCCACTTCCAGGAACTACACTCACACCCTGGCCGGTCTCTTCTGAGCGCTTTTTCCTCTTTGGGCCTAAAGGAAGCCCCAAGTTCACTTTGTAAAGTTCTCCCCACCTGTGTCTGTAACTTTCCAATGTCTGAGCCCCTGGGCCTTCTGCGGACTATGGCAGGGCCACCCATTCCTATGCATAAGCCAGGACTGGTGTGATGTGGGCACTGAACACTGCAGAGCAGCAGCCTGATCCGATTCCAGGCCCGGCTCCCAGAGGCTTTGTGCCTCTCTCTTGTTCACCATGACAAATAATGCAAACACGTGCACAGTCTCAGTCAAACAGTGACTTGTGAGCCACACAGAGGCCTCGTGACACTCCACTCCACGTTCTGATAGGAACGGCCCAAACTTGAGGAAGCCTGTGCTGGGCTGTCCTTGGTGATTAAAGCAAATACTAGAACATGGACCTCAACAAACTGCTTCCTCTACTCATGAGCTGAGTACAGAAATGGGGAGCAGCTGCTTGGAAAGCTTCGTTGTGATCTCACGGTGCCCAGCTTGCGACAGCAGGGTCAGGGCGGGCACGTTCTCAGAGCACAGGGGAGCCCCGGGATGGACTGTCAGGTCTTCTGAGGACTCTAGGATGTCTAGTTTAATAAGATAAAATGCTAAGAGTCATAGCATTCATCTCCATTGCCCCCTCCCCAGCTTCCCCGGAGCGCCTTTGAAATTCATTCTTACTGCCTCTGTTCCTACCTGCTACCCACAGAAAGCACAGCCCGGGCCTGGGGCAGGGGGGAGGCGGGGGAGGGCGGGGAGGAACCAGTGGCAGGTTCTGTTGAGATAAAGGGAATCCAGTTGTGAGGGACAGGGATTCCCAGCTGAAGACACACACAGAATGCTTCCTCCACGGGTCTACACAGGGAGGGTGTGAGGGGAGCAGGAGATGGAGGACCAAGGACGGGAGGATGGAAACTCCAACCAGAGAGGACAAGGAGGAGACACGGGACTGAGAAGGGGCCCAGGATGCTGTAACTAGTCAGTGGGATTGCCAGAGGACCGTGTGCACAAGTAGCCACAGAGGAGATAAAATGACAGCCTGTGAAGTGCAAAGACACGAAAGGGTGGGGAGGAGGGGAAGGGGCGGGGAGGGGCGGGGAGGAAGAGCCGGCAAGCCAGTCTCCAGGAACCGATGAACTAAAGCTGCTGGGGAGAGCTGGGTCCCGAGGATTTGCAGCAGGTGCTGTGTGCACGGTGCCCCCGCTGCCTCTCTCCTGAGGGGCCCCAGGAAGGACCCTGATGCATTTCCATTGATCCCAAAGCAGCTACATATGGAGACTGGACTCTGGGACGTCCAGCGTCACGTGCTTGGCTCTCGGCCCAGGCTGGAATCTTGTCCGTTCTTGGTTGAGCAGCCGCTGGCAGCTCGCGGCTTTCCGGATCACCTCTCGCTATTGCTGTGAGAAGCCGGCCATGGGGCTCCAGTCTGACGGGTGGTCCCCTCCGCCTGCTCCCCGCTTCCCCTCACCACTGGGTCCCCTCCGCCTGCTCAGCCCTTCCCCTCACCACTGGGCGCAGATCACATCACCTCACAGAACCTGCACGCTTTATTCCCAGGTGGAAATGCCTCTGAGCAGCACGGGGGGCAGAAGGCAGAGCAGAAGCCAGCGTGGCGGGCTGCGGGCTGCGCGGCCCCCCGAGGCCTCGGTGCGCTGTGGCTGCTGCTCCGGAAGGGTTATCTTTTTCTCGGTGTTAAGGGGCTTGCCTTCCATCTGGGTCAGGGTCTGGATCCAGAGGTTGTAGTTGGCCAGCGAGGTGTATATTCCAGGGGTGTCCTTCTGTCCACAGCTCTTGCCCCAGCTGATGATGCCCACCTGGTACCACTGACTCCCGGGCTCCGCGGTGCAGACCAGGGGCCCTCCACTGTCGCCCTGTGGGCAGAGGGCGCAGGTCAGCAGCGGCCACAGAGGCGGGACCCTGCCCACTCGGGCATGTGGTACACGGGAGGAGGGTGGGCCTGTGCCCAGGGCTGGGGGTGTCGGGGCTGGGGAAGGAGAGGAGCCCCGTGCTGCAGGTCCTCTCACTGGAACACAAAGAAGAGGCAGGAAAGGGGGGCATGAGAAGGGTATGAACAGCGCCTTTAGCGGAAGGAGCGTGAGCCTCGAGGAGGAGACAGGAGGCCATGCGAGCCTGGGCAGAGCCGGGGCCAGGACTTCGGGATGCCCAGCATTTAGCCAAGCCCTCCACCACGGCTCCTCCTCCCTCACCAAAAGCTCTGAACAACCACAGCTCATCTGGGGTCTCCGTTTGGTGGAGGGCGTCTTACTTTCTACACTCCTGCCTAAAACTTTGCCTTCTGCAGAACAGGGTGAGAACTAGCCTTCAGCAAACACCCCGTCCTTCTATGCAGCCTCTATGTCCAGGACTTTGTCAAAATGGAGGTCATTCCAGTGAGGTAGGAGCTGGGAAAGGCCATAAAACATCTGGGGCAGAACACCTGAAGTATTTGTTCCAGGGGTGCATCACGAACATTCCTGTACATTGAGGAGGAGCCCGCATCCCTTCATAGAAAGCTGGGTCTGTTGGTCAGTAGGTTCTGTGTGTGGAAGCCTTTGGATGCAAGGCAGCAAGGCTCACCCTGCAGCGGGCCCCGGGAAGAGCTTTCTTCCAAGGGCTCTGGCTAGAAGCCAGGCAGAGTCTGGTGAGAGCCTGACCCCAGCATCCCCAGTGGGCATCTGTGAGATGGACGACACGCAGGCCCACCCAGCCCAGGCTGGGTACAAGAGGCCCAGGATTCTAGCCAGGCTCCCACCATGATCTAGTGGGACCCCTGGCCTAGTCATGTCCATTCACGGCCTCTCATCTGCCCCGTGGGGAGCACGAGGTTGCAGTCCATCGTACCTAATTAACACAGGAGTGGCTGATGATAAAAGCCAACCCTGCCTTCCCATCCACGAAGAGTGTGGATGACACATCTTCCACCTCTAAATGAAATTCTGGGGCAGTGAGATCTGTGGCACTGGGCTTCCCTCAGAGACCCTTGCTCTCCCCATCACTGGCCGCAGGCCCGCGCCCCTCCCCCGGGGTCACAGTCCACCGGAGAAAACGGCCCATCCTTTCACATTAAGCAATAATAGATGCCTCTGTGGCCAAAAGCCTTTCCACCACGAGCCGCCTCTCCTGCACTGTGTACGGGGAAAAGAGCATGCTATGCTTCAGACACAAATCCAAGTCATTCATTCATTCATCCCCAGAGCCAAGAACCCGTTCTCCAGTCTTCTAGGTATCAATTTAAAATTTTTTTCTTAAAAAAAAAAAAGTATTCATGTTACTACAAAGAAGCAATGAAGCTAAACGCTGATTAGTTCTGGTTGTGGGCCCAGCGGCTGCTGGCTGAACCATGGGGACTCGGCTCACCCGCGGCACCGAGGCCTGCTGTGCTCGCACCATGCTGCTGAACGAGTGAGTGAATGAATGAAAGGTGACTCCTTGTGTGGGTCACAAATCCTCCTTGGCTTTTTGTTTCTATTTATTTATTCCTTTGTGCCAGTCCTGGCGCTCGAACTTGGGGCCTGGGCGCTGTCCCGGAGCTTTCTCACTCAAGGCTGGCCTGCTCCCACACCTCCCACACTGCCACACCTCCACTTCCAGCTTTTTGGGGGTTAATTGGTGATCAGAGTCTCATCGACGTGCTTGCCTGGGTTGGCTTTGAACTGCGATCCTCCGATCTCAGCCTCCTGATTCACTAGGGTTACAGGCATGAGACACTGGTGTCATTTTCCCAGAAATGGAAAACGCAGGTGGAGCCCTGTTTATCGAGTGTCCCTAACGAACACCAGACGTGTTTCCGTCAGAGAACTGCGTGCTGGCCGGAGCACCCTCGAGGGGAAGCTCTGACCCCTGCACGTGAGCACTCTCCTCCGGGGCGCCGGCCTCCTGTCGCGGTTACCTGGCACGCGTCGTAGCTGGAGTTCCCGTACCCGGCACACAGCATGTTCTTGGTGAGCTTTGGGAACACGGCCACACACTTCTTCCAGTCTCCAATGACCATGGGCACTTTCATCAGCTCGGCCGTCATGGACGTTTTGTCCTCTGCCCCAGAGAGAAGCTCATCAGAGAAGCCGTGGACGGTGGGTCTCCCCTGCACATCCCACGGCCCGCCGCGGCGTGGACGGTGGGTCTCCCCTGCACATCCCACGGCCCGCCGCGGCGTGGACGGTGGGTCTCCCCTGCACATCCCACGGCCCGCCGCGGCGTGGACGGTGGGTCTCCCCTGCACATCCCACGGCCCGCCGCGGCGTGGATGGCGGGTCTCCCCTGCACATTGCACAGCCCACCGCGGTGTGGACGGTGGGTCTCCCCTGCACATCCCATGGACGGTGGGTCTCCACTGCACATCCCACGGACGGTGGGTCTCCCCTGCACATCCCACAGCCAGCTGCGGCCTAGAGCTGCCACGCCAGTCCCCGCATCCGCCGTCCGCCTTGTTCCTCACTGCCATCCACTCTTCCATCTGCCCCCCAAGCTTTTCCAGACAGCCCCCTACCAGCCCCATTCCTCTCTTTTAGAACCTAGCCCTCCTCCCGCTCCGCCCCGGCCAGCCCCGCAGACTCCCTTGATTTTCCAGCAGGGTCCTGCCCGGTCACTTCTTTGCCTGTTGTTGCTGCTCCTCCCCATGCTCCCCCCCCCCACACACAGGACCATGGGAAGTGGTTTTGCAGCCCAGTGATAGAGCAAGGCTCTGGGCACAGCCCTGGGGCATGGGTTGGCTGCGAAGCTCAGGGGCCGTGATAGGGAGTTGGCGCCGGGGTCTCTGGGGACCAGGACTTTTCTTCTTGCCTGGATGTCTCTCCTTTTCATCAACTTGGATCACATCAAAATCAAACTCTTCCTGAGCATTTGTAATCTTGTCTACCTACATCTGCCTCCTCCTCCTCCTCCACTTCTCCCTCCCGAGCACAGCATGGCGCCAGAGCCTCCCTCCGCTGAGTTCCTGAGTTGCCCGCAGGCTCCAGGCCCAGCCGGCCTGTGCCAGTGCTGTGACCTGAGCATGTACTGTGCAGGTCCCTGACCCCTGTGAGAGCCTTGGCTTGGTGGGTTTGGGGTGATCATTCTCCCTTTCTGCCCCACGCCTTTCCTCCTAGTTTGGCAAAATGACAACCTAACAGGTACCACAGACTTATTTCTAGGAGCAGCTGTCCGCCCTAAGCACCAGGAGAAGCCTAGCCGGAAATGGAACCCTCAGACCAGGGGGACGTGGGTGGGAGAGGGTGGAGGTCCTCTCCTCCTCTTCCTCCCCGCAACGCCCTCCTGCAGGGAGTTCTCCAGAGGCCCGGGGAAAGCACGTACTTGGCTTGGTCTGGCCCCACCCTGCTACCCAGCACTTGTGCCAGCGGGCGGGGACCGGCTGCGGGGGCAGGCAGATGGGCACCACCGCCTCGTTGAACTGGATGGGCGAGGTGAGCAGCAGCAGGGCGATGTCGTTGTCCATGGTGTCTTTTTGGAAGTCCTTGTGGAGAATGATGCTGGCGATCTCCTTCACCTCCATGGATGGGCTCATCAGGTTGGTTGTTCCCACGACGATGCTCAGCTCCACTGGGCTGGTGACCCAGAATGGGGGGGGAGGGAGGGGAAGGGAGGAGAGGTCACCGAGATCACTGCGCGAAAAACCCAGACCAGGCCATGGACCTGCACCGGTCCTGGTGTGCCCACAGCTCAGGGTGGGGATTGACCAACAAGGCAGGCATGGGCTGCTGTGTCTGCTGGGCGCACAACCAGACATGCAGACCGAGGGAATACAGGGTCCAAAAACTAGATCCATACTGCTCTAGCTCTTGGATTCTCAGTGAGGATACCAACATGTACATGCAACAATCTGACACCGAACTCCTAGCTCAAGGATCATAGTCAGAGTTTTCAAGTAAAATGTGATCAGTAGTGGAAAAACAAAGAAGTAAAGCCAGGTGTTCCTGAGTAGCACGCAGAATGGGCATGGGCTAGAGCTGGGATTTCAATTCCGGGCCTCTGTGGGAGGTGCGCAGGGGGGGTCGGCCATGGCGTCATCTGACCTCAGTTTCCCTATTTATAAAGGTACTCACACTGAAATTACCACTAGTGCAGTCTTAGTGGAGTGTCTGGTGCATGTGAGTAATCAGCAATTGGTCCATGTCCACTCATCAAAGAAGAGTAGACAGAAAATTCGAGAAGGAATGGTAGGGGGAGGGACTTGCTGGCAGGACTGGCAGCGTGAGCTCGGAGGACCCAGGATGGGCACTGGCTGTCTCCTGCCCCAGCCTGAGGGAACTCTGCCGTCGGGGCTGGCTAAGGACCAGGACGACCTGGTTACCAGCACCCCAGGCCCCGGGTACTTACAATATGTCCTGAGAATTGACGCAGTGAGCGGCCGTGAGGACCCACCAGGCGCTGATGATAGAGCCGCCGCACAGGTGCTGGTTTCTCGCCTGAATACTTACCTGCCACGGGAACTCCCCCACCTCAGCCTCCAGCCCCCCGACAATCCGGGAGTACCGAGTTTTCCCCTCGAAAACAGGTCTTTCGCCACACCCTGCTGGAATGGAAGAGAGAAGGGAAAATGGGCACGTCAGCCCAGAGGTTCTGTAGATGCTTTCCCTTACAGCTGGGTGCTTGTGTTCCAGGCTTATAATCCGAGTCACTTGAGAGGTTGACAGGTAAGGACTGTGGTTCGAAGCCACGTTGGGCAGACAAATCTGTGAGACTATCTCTAATACACCAGCAAAAGGCTAGAAGTAGAGGTGTGGCTTAAGTGGTAGAGCACCAACCGTGAATGAAAAAGCTAAACAAGAGGGAAAGGCCAGAGTTCAAGCCCCAGGGCCAGCACACAAATTCCCCTTAGAATCAACAGAAACTTTGGAGATGCAGCTAATCAGCTGATTCCAAAATGGCCCACCAAGTGGGCTCAGAGTGACCCTTAAAGGTCCCGAAGAATGGTGAGATAAGGCAGAGAAAGATCGGACGCAGCCAGGTGCTGGCCTCTCACGCCTGTAACCTTGGTTACTTAGGAGGCTGAGACCTGGGGACTGCGGCGTGAAGTCAGCCGGCGCAGCAAAGTCCACAACACTCTTGTCTTCAATGAACCACCAGAAAACAATCAGAGGTGGGGCTGTGGCTCAAAGTGGTAAAGTGCTAGCCTTGGGTGAAAGAGCTCAGGGATAGCGCCCAGGCCCTGAGTTCAAGCCCAATTAAAAAAAAAAAAATCAAAGGCAAAGTGAGAGGAGAAGCGCACCAAGAGATGCTGCCAGGCCCTCCCTCATTCCCTCTCAACTCCAAGGATGGAAACAGCCCTGGCTCAGCTCCCCTCAGCATTAGTATGGCCGCAAGCCATTCTGGATCCCTCTCGGCCTGACTCTGTCCCAGAACGGAAGCACTGGGTGGAGATGGAGCGCACCTGCTGAGGGAATGCTGGGTCCTGGGACCGAGAACCACGTCTGGCCCGGAGACAAACCACGAGGCAAGGATGCTGTGTGGAAATGCATCCGTGGTGCCTGCCCTGCCTGCTGGAAAATGTCCGCCATGCGATGTCTCTAACAGGGGGCTGGGACTGAAGGAAGTGCTACGGCGATCTGAATCCTGAACTATTTCTTCCAAATATTTTGTTCATGGGGAATTTTCAGTGATAAGAAACAGGAGTGAAAAGTCAGGCTAAACATTCATAATTGAAACGTGATTTGGTTGCATTAAGAAACTGGATGTAGCCAGGCATTGGCGGTTCACGCCTGTCAGCCTAGCTACTCAAGAGGCTGAAGTCTGAGGATTGCAGTTCAAAGCCAGCCTTGGCAGGAAAGTCCATGAGAGTCTTATCTCCAATAAACCACCAGAAAACCAGAAGTGGTGCTGTGGCTCAAGTGGTAGAGCGCCAGCCTTGAGCTGAAGAGCTGATGGACAGCGCCCAGGCCCAGAGTTCAGGACCCATGACAACAAAAAAGAAAGAAAGAAAGAAAGAAAGAGATAGAGGAAATATGTCTACCTCTAGACTCCCAGCGGGAGAGGAGTTGGCCGGCTGACGTACAGCTGTGGGCCCTCCCTGAGACACAGCCCTGGTACAGAGCCACACCTGGCTCTGGTGGTCACTCATTAAACAGCTAGAGGACTTGCTAACATGGACGTAAGATAATCCCACCTATAAGGCTGACGTGGGGATGAATTCTGACAACGGATGCTGAAGTGCCCACAAACCCTCTGGGTGGAGAAAATCCTTGAGCCACATTGTGGCCAGGGTTTCTCATATGCCATGTCCCCGTGGGGGAGGCCACAGATCCTTGGTCCCGAGGATGCCCAAACCGCTGGTGCAGAATCGCATGCGCAGATTGATGCACAAACCCAAAGCCTGGATCTGCAATGGCAGCAGAGAGGGCAGAGGGCAGAGAGAACGGAGGGTCAGAGAGCAGGGGGTCAGAGAGAACGGGGGTCAGAGAGAACAGGGGGTCAGAGAGCAGGGGGTCAGAGAGAACGGGGGTCAGAGAGAATGGGGGTCAGAGAGAACAGGGTCAGAGAACGGGGGGTCAGAGAGCGGGGGATCAGAGAGAGCAGGGGGTCAGAGAGAACGGGGGTCAGAGAGAACGGGGTCAGAGAGAACGGGGGGTCAGAGAGAGCAGGGGTCAGAGAGCAGGGGGTCAGAGAGAACAGGGGTCAGAGAGCAGGGGGTCAGAGAGAGCGGGGGTCAGAGAGCAGGGGGTCAGAGAGAGCAGGGGGTCAGAGAGCAGGGGTCAGAGAGAACGGGGGTCAGAGAGCAGGGGGTCAGAGAGCGGGGGGTCAGAAAGCAGGGGTCAGAGAGAGCAGGGGGTCAGAGAGAACGGGGGTCAGAGAGAACGGGGTCAGAGAGAGCGAAGGGTCAGAGAGAGCGGGGGTCAGAGAGCAGGGGGTCAGAGAGAGCGGGGGTCAGAGAGAGCGGGGGTCAGAGAGCAGGGGGTCAGAGAGAATGGGGGTCAGAGAGAACGGGGTCAGAGAACGGGGGGTCAGAGAGAGCAGGGGTCAGAGAGAACGGGGGTCAGAGAGAACGGGGTCAGAGAACGGGGGTCAGAGAGAAGCAGGGGTCAGAGAGAACCGGGGGTCAGAGAGAGCAGGGGGTCAGAGAGAACGGGGTCAGAGAGAACGGGGGGTCAGAGAGAGCGGGGGGTCAGAGAGAGCAGGGGGTCAGAGAGAATGGGGGTCAGAGAGAACGGGGGTCAGAGAGAACGGGGGATCAGAGGGCAGGTGGTGCAGGGGGCAGGGGGGGCAGGGGGCAGGGGGTGCAGGGGGCAGGGGGTACAGGGGGCAGCCAGTGCCTGGGCAGTGGTGTGCTTCGGGTCCCCTTGCCCTGGACCCCAGCCAGGCCGCACTCCCTCGCTGACCGCCTGCTCCATGCAGCCAGGCCCTGGCCATGTTGAGGACAGGCGGTGTTGGGCTCCAGATATGGTGAGGCCGGAGGGCCAGTGGAGTGAGGTAAGCAGCCCTCCTGTGCCCTTGGGGTGACTCTGGGAGAAGCCTTAGTCCCAGGGCGGTTCCCAGTTACACACACACACACACACACACACACACACACACACACACACACACACACAGTCCACCCCGGGGCGTGGGTGCTGACCCACAACCCACTCAACTCAGCTTCCTTCCAGCCTGGGCCGCGGCCTTGGAGAGGCGGACAGCGCATGCGGGGCTGTGAGCAGCAGGCTGCCAGAGCAGGAGCGGCCTTGACCTGGAAGTGCAGAGCCCCACTTCCTCCTGCACCTGCCAGTCCCCTCCCTCCCTCCCTCCAGCCCCAGCAATGGGCACCCCAGTATTCTTTCATGCATAAGTGAAGCCTCCAGTTTCCAAACCAAGGCTCAAGGTCAGACAGATCAAACTTTGGGCTGGGGAGCAAAGGAGAAGACAGAGAAGCAGCTTTGCGGAGGGGGGCTGGCAGAGGGGAGCCCCCCTCCTCGCTCCCCCGCCTTGTTCCTGGAAGCTGGCACCATGGTGGCCACTCAACCGATTCACAGGCTCATGTCCACTCTCCTCTCCCTCGCCCTAATGCTCACCACAGACTGGATGACGGGAGAGGGGAGGGGCAGCAGTCCTGCCCAGCCCCTCCTGGGTCAGCTGCTCTGGCCAGTGGGAGAGGAGTCCACGTACCAACATCTCCCCCCATGGCTTGGGCAGCGAGGAGCAGCACTAAGAGCAGGGTCATGGCCATGTACGAGGCTGGAGGCTGGGGCGGGGGGCAGGGAGGCTGGGGGGCAGGAGGCTGGGGGGCAGGAGGCTGGGCTGAGGATTGAGGCTGCACAGCCTCTTCAGGGCTGGCTCACCCTCCGATGTCACAATGGGGCTGGGTTGAAAGCAGGCTGAGGTCATGCAGGCTTCTCTCTGGCTTCTTCTCTAGGCCTAGAAGGTCTGCCTAGGGCCTCGTGCGGAGACCCGCCAACCTGGCTCAAACGCAGCCACCACACTCGGTGGCATCTCGCCCCTGATCCTTCAGGATCCTGGGCTTCCTCTTGTACAGAGCCATCTCTGTCACTGCATGGCCAGCTGGCAAAGCCAAGCCTGTGGCCTAGAGGAGGCCTCTCCAGGCACCGACACCCTGCGTGGTCCAGTGGCCTCCTCCTCCTCTGCCTCGCCCCAGCCGAGGAGGACACAGGCCCTGTCTGGGGCTCTTGGCTTCTTTCACCTCTGCCCAGAGGGGGAGACTCCTCTCCTATCACCTGGATTTATCCCACATGACCACCCCCCCCCCCCGGCAGGGCCCTGTGCACCCAAGGGTGAAAAGATGAGACTCAGGCGGCGAGGTGGGGCCGCGGCCTGGCTGGGCAGTGGGATGTGGCCCTGGGGTTATCTATTACCCTTTACCTCGCACACACCGACAGGGGTGACCTCAGAGGCCTCCACAGCTGCTCCATCCACTGCTGAGCGGCAGCTACCATTTCCCCAGCGGGAGGTGTGGCTGGGGTTGGAACTCAGGCCCCTGCGCTTGCCAGGTAGATACTCTCTACTGAGCCACGTCTCCAGACTCTTTTGCACTGGTTATTTTTTGAGGATTTTTGCTACACCTACTTGAGGCTTCCTGCTTAGCCGGGATGTTAGGGTTAGGGAGTGCCACCACATCCCTCTTCTTCCATAGGGGTGGGGTCTCGCAGCGTTTTTCTGCCCGAGCTGGCCTGGAACTATGATCTTCCCAACCTCAGCCTCCCACACGGCTGACGGTGTGACTCACTCATCCCAGGTACTGGCTGAGAAGGGGTTCTGGAACTTTTCTGCCAGGGCTGACCTCAACTTCACCCTTCTAGGTTGCCAGGATTACAGGCATGAGCCCGCAAGCCAGCATCTGGCTTGTATCTCTCATGCATCTGCAGAGCACGTTCTTGATCTAGGTCGGGTTAGTTTGTGGACAGCGTTTGAGAGCAGGCAATGGTCACCCATTACTGAGAGCCCGGCCAGCACCCAAACCCAGGTTTCCCAGCTCTCAGTGGGTGGGCTTCCAGACATACAATCACTTCTGAGCTCACGTGGCTCTCGGAAATCCACGGGAGGAGAGGACACTCGTGGGCTTGCTGAAGACAATACGGGCTGGAGCTAGAACTCATGCCACGCATGGTCAGCCTCCAACCTGGGCGGCAGGCGAGCCTTCTCCTCCTCTCTCACTTATCATCCATTCTGGCCTAGCAAACGTGTCGAAGGCTACCAGGCTCCATTCCAAAACCTGACAGCATAGGCGGGAAAACCCCTCTTGTCTTCGTGAGAGCTGCAGTCGTGGGAGAGACAGTGAGGCCCTGCCGAGGGCTGAGACGGCGTGGGGTGGGCATCTGTGCAGTGCAGAGCCCAGCGACGGAGCCACGCAGCAGATGGGACAGGGCCTCGCCCAAGGGCGCCTGGGAACCACACCCACACCCAGAGGAAGGGAGGAGGGAGCCTTGGGAGTAACGGGGGAGCCCTGAGATAACCAAGAGGCCAAGAGCAAAGCAAGAGATCAAAGATTAGGAAGCGGGGACTTCCTCCCGTCTGGGTGACGCGGACTGTGTTTATGAAAGAGAGCACGCGGGGTGGCAGTGTCCTCTGACTCAGTGAAAGGATGGGAACATCTCAGGAACCATTATTATTATTATTATTATTATTACTATTATTATTGCCGTCCTGGGCCTTGAACTCAGGGCCTGGGCCTTGCCCCTGAGCCTCTCTGTGCTCAAGGCTAGCGCTCTACCAACTTGAACCACAGCACCACTTCCAGCTTTTGCTGTGTAGTTTGTTGGAGTCTCAGGGACTTTTCTACCTGGGCTGGCTTCAAACCACGATCCTCCTATCTCAGCCTCCTGAGTTGCTAGGATGACAGGCATGAGCCGCCCAGCCTGAGGAACCATTATTTTTGATGGTCTTAAGATAGAGATGAGGAGCCCATCTTAAAACAGGCGTTGAGGAGGTGGGAGAGGGGAGGGCAAAGGGCAAAGGAGAGGTGCGGACGCACTGAGGGCTTCGAGGCTCATCCCCCCCCCCCCCCCCCCCCGCCCCCTTCTTCCTCAGAGGTCTCCCCTCCCCCTCGGAGTTTCCTCCAGCTCCCTGGCGGTGGTCACCCTCCTCTTCTGGCTCTGTTGTCTCCTGGTCACCGTTTGTGTGGACAGGTCCTCAGGGCTCAGGTGCCCGCAGCCTGCCCACACCCTCCTGTGTCGGCTCCATCCAGTGACCCCAGACGTCTCCGGGCCTCTGTGTGTTTGCCGGGCTGCCAGCCTTTCAGACCACTCCACTTTCTGTCACCTCTCCCGCAGCGCCGCCGGGCACCCTGGAACTGTGCTGAACCTCTTTTCTCTCCCCTTCTTGGCAGACCCTCCATCGCGCTCTTTCTGATGGTAAAGAATGTATTTTTATTTATTTAAAATATAGTTTTAAAAATAGAGCACACAGAGGAGTTCTCAAGATGGCGACGGGGCAGTAGGGAAACGCCACAGCTCTCTCCAACCAAAAAGAGAGTTCGAGTTCCAACCTTTAATCTCCCCAAGAGACCGACAACAACAAAAAGACGAACACTCAGAGAAAAACCAGAGGTGGAAAATAACAAAAAAAGAAAGAGAGGAAAAGAAGAATTTCAGAACAGAGAAGAGCGAAGACCCCTCCCCCAACCTTTACTGGCCGCGCGGCAGTGCGCCAAGCCGCCGGCCAGCCGGCCCGGCGGGGGCTGCCGGAGCCACAGAGACACAGGGGGCTGCTTGCAGATCACCAGGTACCGGATTGCAGAACAGCGGATCGCCAGGAACAGAGAAACCTACCAGCCGGGAGTCTCCAGGAGGATCCCACCCCACCCATCACTCTCCACCGGAGCGGAGAGGCTCCATCCCGCCAAAGCCGCCCGGCACCAGCAGCGCCACAAAGGGACCTGTCGCGATCGCAACGACCCGGCGGGGGGCCGCCCAACCCAGCCCGCAACCACCCCAACTGAACTCGGACTGCAACAACAACTGACGGACTGCAACAACAACTGACGACCTACAGGGTGAGTACCCATCAGGGGACAGGGAATCCATCAAGGGAGACCAGAGCTGGAGGGAATCCCCAGACCCTGACCTAGACTCCCTACCCCAACACCCGGACCACAGGACCCACTAAAACTGGGAACTGTTCGAGAGCCCCACCAGCCGGTGGAGCACACTCTGCTGGCCAGGCCAGAGCAAGAGCGCCCCGGGAAGGGAGCTTAAATGCTCAAGCCAGGAACAGTGCCCCTGGGTCAAGACTACCAACAGTAGAAGAAATTTGAACTGTGTCCTCCAGGCTGCATAACCAAGGTGGTATACACATTAGCACAGGCCTAACGAGCGCGCTCCAGGCTGGGGCCGGAACCAGGCCAGGGGACCGGCGCCTGAACAAAGCAAAAAGGGTCAGAAGTGGGGCTGTGGCTCAAATGGTAGGGTGCCAGCCCTGAGCTGAAGAGCTGAGGGACAGCACCCAAACCTAGAGTTCAAGCCCACAACCAGCCCAAAACAAACAAAAACACATCAGGAGCCCATAGCAGACTCCAGTATTTGGGAGAGTGCATCCAGAGCATCTGATCTTCCCAAGAGCACCCGCAGGAGCAAACACAAGCAGTCTAGGCTGCTCAACCCTTCCAAAGGCGGGAATTGCTACAGCAGAGAGCTGAGAATCCTAAGTGAATAGCAGCTGGAAATAGGCTCCCAACAGAATCCAGATCAGACACAGACTCTCTCTACCAATAGAGAATCAGCAACCAAGCAAAGACAGACACACCAAAACAAGATTGAAGAGCAGTCTCCTGAACCCCCATGCGAAAATCACAGAGAAAAATCACAAGGTTTACCACTACCCAGGACAGCAAGCTCACCTCAAAAGCCAGCAGCCACGCAGGGGAGAGCCCCAGTGGGAGCAAAGCAGGAATGGAAGACAAAAACTACATCCAAGGGTTGCTGGAGGCAATGACTCAAGAAATAAAGCGAGAAATGGATCAGAAATTGAAAGAGCACAAGGATGAACTATCAAAAGATATACAGGATATCAAACAAAAATTGGATGCAAAAATAGAAGCTGCACAAACCTCAGTAAGAAGTGAGATAAACGCCAAATTAGAGGTAATGCATACTGATATCACCTCATTGAGAGGTGAGATCAGTACTCTGAGAACCAACATTGAATCCATAAAGGGATCCATTTCCATCATGCAAACCACAATAGAAGCCACGGTCAACAGAGTGAATGAAATGGAAGGTAGAGTGTCAGATACAGAAGACAGAATACACCAACTGGACCAAAAAGTGACAGATATGGAAAAATCACTCAAATTAAACCAAAGGGAAATTCAAGAGCAAGCAGATAATGCTAAAAAATTTAACCTTCGCATAATCGGAGTGGACGAAGGTGAGGAATTCCAGAGCAAGGGAATGCAACACCTATTTAACAAGATAGTCAATGAAAATTTTCCCCACCTCAAAAACGACCATCTTAACTACATCACAAAAGCTTATCGAACACCCAACAAGCAAGATCCCAGGAGAAACACTTCTAGGCACATAATAGTAACAATGATGGATCTGAATAATAAGGAAACAATCCTGCATGCAGCAAAAATGAAGAAGGAGCTATACTACAACGGGAAAAAAATTAGAATCACTGCAGATCTCTCCACACAAACAATGAATGCAAGAAAAGCC